CAACAGAGAGAAGTAAATGAATTTTTTAAAATAAAAGGTTGAAATTTCAATGACGAAAAAGTGGTGGTGAGCTGCGTGCATCATTTCACGTGCAAATCTTATGAACTTTCTTTGTCTAAATGATTAACCCTTTTTATATAATCAGATAGTTATGCTGGAGAAAAAAATTGTTCAGACAAACATGGCAGACAAGGAAAAATCTTCTGTTTAAAAAATTCAATTTTGTACAATCAAAAGACTTGTATATGCAATTTATCTTGTATTTTGTTCGTATGATGACAATATATTTTTGTACAATCAAGATAGTTAAGGAATTATAATATTCGGGCGAAATTATTTGTGTAATATATATGGTTTTCGTGATCTTTGATAAGACATAGGTAATGCGTCTTTTACATCTCGTGCACTTTATCTTATATGGTGACATTGCATTAGAGTAAAATCGTTGTGTTTGTTATAGAGGTTTGAAATATTCATTTGTGTTTGATCATTTCTTCGTATATGACACAATTATTTCTTACTTGAAGAGATGAGATTTGCACAATTGATTCATCACTTGTTCTCTCAGTAATAAGTTTTTAGATTGTCGCACATTACTCATGAAAATAAATATATGTTCAAATGAATCAATATCAAGGTTTTATTTGCTAACTTCACGAATAATTACAATACCCTCAGAAGCAAGATCATGTAATTCTTTACAAACTTGTACACATCCTTCTGAAGCTACTGGACTAGTTATGGTACCTGGCACATTACCGCAAGGGTGTTCTAAAGTTCCTCCACTGAATTGTAGTAAATTAGACAAGTGAGGGTTATATGACAATTTAATATAAGTTTCGACGGGGCTCGTTATTAGAGACCGATAGTAAAGAAGAACAAATGATAAAGAAGGACAGATGTTCTGCTGTAAGAAAAATACTGTGTATTACAGTTGTTTGGCTTTTGTACACAAATTGCAATGAGGGCAGCAAGCTATATATATACATAAACCAAAAAAGCTATACTAGGAAGCCTATTAATAGTGAATCAATATACAAGGAATAGCAGCAAATTTATAGCAACCGTGTCCATGATTTGCTCCTCTAGATTGGTTGATTATCCATGATTTTAGAGATGAGATTAACAGTCCATGATTTGCTCCTGTAGATTGGTAGTCTGACCAAGATTATAGGGCTAAGATCAAGGATCCTTTTCAGATAGTGCAACTGCAAAAAGATTTGAAACAATTTATTCCTTTTTAAAAGTTAAGAAAAGAACTAGCAATTAGGACACGGGTTGGTGATCAAAAGTAATTTTCTCTATAGTTTCGAAACATGACTAAGAAAGACATCATCAGTGTATAATCTTCAAATCGAACAACATTAGTCAAACGAAAAGCTCATCCATAAAGGAAAATTATTTCAAAAGGCAAAAAAAAAAGTACGAAAATTTCTCGATCTCACTTTTATCTTTATGTATACTGAAATTCAAATAAAATGTGATTGAATATGATTTGACACAAGAAATCTTTTTTGTCAATAGGATCCCGAATGGACCCGATTGAAAATTACTCGTCATAATTGGATTGGAAAGGGAAAACTGAAACTTCCCTCTATCCGTTCTTTAAAATTTATTTTATCGTGAAAATTCACAACCAAACGAAAATAAAAAGCAAAATCTAATTCGAATACCCAAGAAAAAGCCAAACAGATTGCATGAAAAGGACCTTATAATTGATTATCAATTTCTTTTATCTTATCTTTGTAATTATAGAGAGAAAAAAAAAAAAAACTGGTTGGTTGTCGATTATTCTTTTTACTATTAAAAACTACTATTGAGAGTGACACTGTAATAACGATTGACATTTAACGTATAGTTTAAATATAAAATACTTCTCATATTCATAATATTAACGGGTGAGTATTTAGATTTACATATTTTTACTATATTAAAAATACGATTGAAAGTGACACCACAATATTGAGCAACATTCAATGTATGATGTAAATATAAAAATTCTTCTCATATTCTTCAAATTAGGGGTGAGTATTTAGATAGCATATAGACAAATTCTTTTAACTATATAAAAAAAAAATAAAAAAGATTGAGAGTGATGCCACAATAATGATTTATATTCAACTATGCTGCAAATATAAAATGTTCTCTTATACTTCAAATTAATATGTGAGAGTTTAGATTAGGATAGAGACATATTTTTTTTACTATTTAAAAAATATGACAGAAAGTGACACCACAATATGAGCAAAATTCTATGTAAAATATAAAAATATTTCTCGTATTTTAGAATCAACGGGTGAGTGTTTAGATTAGTATAGAGACAAATAAAAGCAAGACAAGACAAACTATTGTAAATTATAATTTATTATATTCTTTAAAATTTCTGTTTTATCATCTTTGTATGAATATGAATATGAATATACGTTTTTTCTCTTTTAAATTCTATTATCATCCATTCATTTAAAGATAATAGTACGAGGGCTCTACGGACTCGAACGTACCAAGTGGCATAGAAGGAGTGGAGAACTTTTTCTTTCTTCTTTTGGTACAATTTCATTGCATTTTGAGTATCCATTCGAGACGATGATTATCAAATATTCTGAAAATTTATATTTCTCAATTCTTGATCCTCACTGGTTCTACTTTATGTTCCTGAAGTTTTATTTTCCCGTTGTTGTCTTTGTTGTGCAGCTAAAGAATGTCGAAAGCATCTCTTTCTAGAATGTCCTTTGCTATAGGGTTGTTTGTGGGTTGCAACGTCCTTTGTGAGAACAACTTTTGATTTTTCAGCGTTTGTGTGGTTAAAAATAAAAAATAAAAAATTAAGCTTACTTACGTAATTACTTTATTGAGAAAATGTGTGGTTGAGAATGGGTTTGAGAAAAAAATATATTTTAAAGAATTAGGCTCAAACAAAGTGCGTATCAAGGCACAACACTCTATTTTGGACCTTTGGCAAGAGGCGTTAAAGATCTCATTTAGCACGTAGTTGAAGTTCTTTTGACGCTCCATTCGTGAGGTGGATTCTCTTCATCTTGGCATGATGAAAGATTTGATGGATGAGTTTATGACCGTTCAACAACTTAAGGTTTCAAGTCATCCATCTAAGATTCCAGGTATTTTGAAGGCCATTTGATGCTCCATTAGCAAGGTTGGCTTAAAGTTAACGCAGGGGACGACTTTTTATTACCTGATCTTGTTGGTTGTGGAGGAATATTTTGCTGCTAAATTATGAAGCTTAATTATTGTCACTTAACGGAGAGGGTTAATCTAAGGAATGCTTATGAATTCATATTTTCGTAATATTTAATTAAAAATTGAAGTCCTTGTATAATTTGATTTTCCCCTAATTTATCGTATAAATAGGGAGCCATTTGTAGGTTTTATCATTATCATCAAAAAGAGAGAAAGAGGGGGTACAAAAGATAGGAATGCGATTTTCTCTTGTAAACATTTTTTTTATTACAATGAATTACCATAACAACGGAATAGAACATAGTTTCAAATTGACATGAATCTCTATAAATCTTGCATATTCTTAAGTGTTCTTTTTTCTTTCTTAACTAATTACTCTCGATGGGATAGAATTAAAGTTTATAATTCTCAACATTCACAACTGTCGCGGTTTTTTTTTTATTTTTTTTTATTTTAAAGAATGGTTTTGCTATCTCCTTATTGTTTGTTATGCTTTCGAAGTTGAGTTAGTTGATGTCGTTCATGCATTTGATTAGGTCGTGGTTGGAGAGTATTTTGCTTATTTAGTGGCCATTTTGCATTCTCCCGAAAGTTCCATGGCTACAACGTTAGAAAGATAATTGCATGACAAAAATAAAATTCTTCAGTTTTTATTTGCAAGTGCAGCCAAACTCATAGCAATAGGCCGCGATCGATATTGAAATAATGCAGATAATTAATGAGGATTATCTGGATAAAAATTGGTAATAATAGGCTAATAGAGTAATGTTGATTAACTTTTTAAATGGGGATTAATGGTTAATGTAGGCCTAATAATTTTCCATAGACGTATCTAAGATCTTCTACTGGATTATATATTATATTCATTTGGTCATTTACGCCTAAAAAAATAAAAAATAAAAAGAATTCAACAATTTATAACTTCAATTGGGTAATATTTTGAGAATCCTATTTGAAAAAAATAGGTGACGGTGACTAATATATAAGATGGATGTAGACAATAACTGATGTGATCATATTTAATAGGGTTAAAATAAAAAATAACGATATACGTCGAAATGATGCTAATTGAAGATAGAATACTATTCTAATATGTATTTGAATGTTTCCCAAAGTAAACTTACGTTCACAAGAATGATAGATTCATAGAAGAACGAATTAAAAATTCATTTAAAACAATAAGCATGTAAAATCTCGATTGGATGGGGTGGGATTTAAAAAAATAAATAAATATATTTTTAAGGAAAAAATCTACTTGAATCCAACAAATCGAATCGACCCATATCAACTATGGTTGATTTATTTATCTTGCAGGTTCGACTTTGACTTGAAATTTCACTTATTCTGAACTGTCGGTTCAATGTCTGATGAGCAGTCTCAATCCGATCAATGTCCACCCCTCCTATCACATGCATCTTTATGAGAAAAAAGTTGCATTATTCGTCTAAAACTTAACTCCATTAATCAAACTTTGAGTTAAAATTTTGTTAATAATATGTACTTCCAACAGTACTAATTGTAGGAGGAGATGAAAATCAAATTTAACATGGATACCTTTGCCTGTTCAGAGCATTTGAAACTTTACGTAGTACGAGAAAAAGCCAAAAAACTTCCGCCAAACAAAATTCAAGAAATTAATTTTAATCCGAATATAGGAAAAAGAAAAAATAAATACATTTTCATACTCATGCAGCTTTTAGCTCCCAACAGAATTAGAAGTGTCACTTAGTTAACTAGCCAGTGTATTAAAAAGAGCACCCCGCACCCACCCACCCAACCCACCTACGCTCTATTTATATTTCCACATTTTCACATTATCCTCATTCAACCTCCTCTTGGTTCTTCACATTCCATCTGCAATTCTTTCAAACCCTAAACTCAAAAGTAAATATATTATTCTTCTTTCACTTCTTTCATATGTTATGATTATATGTTAACATGGACTAGTGTTTCTTGAATGCAATATATAAATTCTAAAAAATACTTTTTTATGCAGGAAAATGGTAATAATTGGAATTGTTTATGCTGTTTTTCTTGCAATGGTATCATCTGTCCATGGTTATGGAGGGTGGATTAATGCTCATGCCACCTTCTATGGTGGAAGTGATGCCTCTGGAACAATGGGTACGTTTAGCCTTGCTTCAAAGCGTCTTTTTTTTTCTTGTGCTTTTCGACTTCAAATTGGATTTGGACTTGGCAGGTGGAGCTTGTGGTTATGGAAATCTGTACAGCCAAGGGTATGGTACAAACACTGCAGCACTGAGTACAGCTCTGTTCAACAATGGGCTTAGCTGTGGTTCATGTTATGAAGTCAAGTGTGTGAATGATGGGAAATGGTGCTTGCCAGGGTCCATTGTGGTCACAGCCACCAATTTCTGCCCACCAAATAACGCCCTCCCAAATAATGCAGGAGGATGGTGCAACCCTCCCCTGCACCACTTTGATCTCTCCCAGCCTGTCTTCCAGCACATTGCACAGTACAGAGCTGGAATTGTCCCTGTTGCTTACAGAAGGTATGCTTAACCAGTGCCTTCAGTATAACATTGAATTTAGGAAAATCGACCTATATTGTGGGCCCAACAGAAGGAAAAAAAAAATCCCCTGAACCTAGATAGGTTAATTTTCTGTTTGTGGTCCTATGGTCATAACCAGTTTTTCTCTTTCAAAATAAGACCCTCAACATTTCTGCTTATGGTCCCCCCTTTGTGTATTAATAATATTTACTGCAAATATTTCTTTTTGCTGTCTTAATTTATTGGGCTATGTGGAGTATAGCTAAACTGTACACTTGTTTCCTCAAATGCATATTTATATACGGTATTCTAAAAGGCGTAATACGTGACGATGCGTGAAGGCTAAATTATGGGCTAAGCAAGCTTAGGCAAGACATTAGTGTAAAAAAAGCGTAAAAATGTGATTTCTTATTTGAATAGTATTTTAATTATTGATCAATCAAAAAAAAAAATCATTTAATGACTAAAATAATACATACCAAACATCTAAAATAGATTTATAGGAACTTTGTACATTTTTTTCAAAGTTTCCAACAAAAAAATAACTTTCAAATATAAATATTAAATAGTAAATAAATAGGAATTTTTGGGAGTTTTCCTTTATTCAAGGTTTCAAGCGGCTGTTTTGAATATAAAGCAGACGAAGTGAAGAAATAAGCTTTTAACTTAAAAGAGTTGTAATTTTCTATTTTTTTTTTTATATTTTTTTAAAAAAGAAGAAGATAATAATGCATGCCTAGTGGTCAACAATAAGACACAAAGCCACTTGGCTAGGCATTTTCGCTAAGCATCGCGCCTATGCAGTGCCTTTTAGAAAGATGTTTATAGGCATATCTTGACTTCAACAAGAGTATGTAAGTACTCCATATGTCTATAAGATTGTCATCATTCTTAAAAAAGCGAGTGGATTTGCTCTCATTTTCAGGGTTGATTACTCTAAACCCGTGTGTTTTTGCTCATTTTGTGGTAGGGATTACTGGATGGCGCTTGATCCATAACATATCTAGTGTAGTTACTCTTTTTAATATCAATAGAACATATCTCAACTCTTCTTTATGAAACTAACTGTCTTCACTTTAATTTGCAGGGTGCCCTGCAGGAGACGAGGTGGCATAAGGTTCACCATAAATGGTCACTCCTACTTCAATTTAGTACTCATAACCAATGTTGGTGGTGCTGGTGATATACATACAGTGTCCATCAAAGGGTCGAGGACTGGTTGGCAGCCGATGTCAAGAAACTGGGGACAAAATTGGCAAAGCAACTCTTATCTTAATGGCCAAAGCCTCTCGTTTAAGGTCGTTGCTGGTGATGGCAGAAGTATAGTATCCTATAATGTTGCACCCCCGAGCTGGTCTTTTGGACAGACCTACACTGGAGGGCAATTCAATTGAACGGAGCATTAGAAAGTACTCGACAATATTATTTTACTGCTGTGAAAGTGTTATACGATTAGTATAAGTGTTTAGTTTTTAACTACTATGGTCACTGGAATTAGTATTGTGACCTGAGAAGGGCATATATGAAAATGCCATTCCTTTTGTTTTCCATGTTACCCTTCTGCTGCAGAAGGCAGAAGATAACAGAGGTGCAGATGGTACCACCCGCCTTCTAATTGAAGAATGGTATTATAAATATTTTTACTTTAAATTGAAATCAGCTCTTAACTCGATTGCTTCTGATTAGTTCCCACTCCCAAATTCTAATAGAAAAAAGTAGTGGGTGCACACTGGTACAGGGAAATTTTGAAGTTTTAAGTGTTCAGTAGACCATAAAAAGGGATCACATCCAGACTAATACTTTTAGAAATATAATAAGCCCCCATTTCGACCGCTTTATTTCAAATTTTAATGGGTGGAATGATATTTTTTATTATTATTTTATTATCTTTTTGTGAATGGGTGATTGAAAAAGAAGAAAATATTTTCGATTTACTTGTACTATTATTTTATTAAAAATTGCGTGGTTGAAACCAATAGATAAGAAAGATTAACATAATTCACACACTTATATATGTTTAAAAAGTTACCGAACTTGATGGTTATGATGCTTTAAGTAGATCATGTGTGAACAATATCATTCTTCATCTGCATTATGTATGAATGGGTTTCACACATAACACAAGGGACACGAAGAGGGAAGATTCACTTAATTCACATACAAAATTAGTTGGTCATACATTTTAAGAAAGCACAACATAAAAAGTTACTCCAACTATGCTAGTTGTGAACTTGTTTCACTCTCATGTGGTATCATTTATGATTAATAACAAAGAAAAGAATATTTATAAATTTACGATGATTTATTTTTTGTAAAAATCATTGAATAATTATCTTAAGAAAAATAAAATTGAGTGGGGGTATTTATGTAATTTTAGAAATCTACATAAATCTCCACACATTGTTTCAAGAAAATAATAAAGGTATCGCTAATTCGCTATTTATATTCACGATCTCTACACACACACTTCTAAAAAGATAATTATATTATATAAATTTACTTAAACAGACATATATAAAATTAAATAAAAATATATTGTTCTAAATTCATCAATTAATATTTATTTTCATAAATTCTTTTGAACTTTATAAAATTCTTTTAGAGTTTTTGTTTAGTTAAAATTCTAATAATCATAAAGTATCATTTTCAACTAAAATCATAAAACCCTAATAATAATAAAATTTCCTCTTCAACTGAAATAAAAAAAAAGAAAAAGAAATTATTAGCTTATAAATTTAAAAGGAAACAAATTTAAAATTACCAATAAAAACAAAAAAGTCAAAATTATTAGCTTATAAGCAAAAATAAACATATAAATTAATTAAAATATTATTCGAAAAGAAATTTGTTTGGTTGCGTGAGCAGTTCACTATGGAGAGAATCCAAGAAATTCAAAAAAAGAGATTGACTAACTTTTACAACTAAATATTAAAACACCAACATGATAATAACGATAAAGAAGAATATGAACCAGATTAGATATTGATAGTGATTGAATGAATATAATGATTTTTGAAATTGTATTAGAGATGTATTTAGAATGAGATGAATATATAAAATTTGTGTGGATTTATAATGTTTAAATGAATGAATTTAATAATAATAATATCGAAATTTGAGGTGAATGAAAATAATAATTCTTCAAAATTTTAATATACATGTATATAGCGTGGGATTAATATATAGATCAGTTACACTTTCAAATTTTTTTTACAAAATTCTTTACTTACTATTCACAATAGAAGGTGGGGACCACGAGCCGATATTTTTTTAAATTCACGTGGGAATTACTTGTTTATGAGAGTAGTAACTCATTTTGTACACATTTATTCGTATAGATATATTTATCCTTTATATTGGCTTAGCCCTTGTTTGATTTTAATTAAATTACATTACATTACATTCTATTTTTCTCTCTCCTATTTTTAACCATACAATCTTCCATAAAATAATATTACACGTAAATCAAAAAAATTTCTTTCTTTTTCAATCACTCATTTTTCAAAAAACACTATTCTATACATTAAATTTTCCCCGTAATGAGGGCCAAACAGGGGCTAAATTTAGGAGGTAAATAGCGGCACCGAATACCAATCCATAACAATATGTACTTCGCCAAAGCCGTTGAGCTTCCATTTCGGATAGGATCCTCAACCTTCAAATTCCCATTCCATGCAAATCCCCAAATCCCCAAAATACCCTAAAATCCCACCTTTCTCTTCCCGCCACTACGGCCTTCACCACAGCCACCGACTCGGGCCTTAAATTCCGGCAGAAACTTATCTACCTCCAGTCCCTCAATATAAATCCAACAAAAGCCCTCAATGAAAACCCAAATCTTCGTTCTGCTCCACTCTCGATCCTGTACTCCGTTACTCACTGCTTCTCCTCCATGGGCCTGGAAGCCTCTGCCCTAGGCCGCATCCTGGATATGTACCCCTCGCTCCTCAGTCCTCACCTCCGACCCACACTCCTATATTTACCCAATTTTTGATTTTTTATTGAATACCGTTGAAATCCCATTTCCTGAGATACGGAAATCCATAATTCGGTGTCCCAGGCTTCTTGTTTCGGATCCGGAATCTCAATTAAAACCTACGTTTGAGTTCCTGACACAATTGGGTTTCACTGGCCCGAATAAATTAACCTCTCAAACCACATTGTTGTTGGTTTCTAGTATAGAGTTTACAATATTACCAAAGATTGAGTATTTAGTGGAATTAGGGTTTGAGTATGATGAGGTTAGGAAAATGGTTTTGAGGTCGCCAGGGCTGTTGACTTTTAGCGTAGAGAATAATTATAAGCGGAAAATGGAGTATTTCTTGAATGAAATGAATGGGGATTTGGAGGGAATAAAGAAGTTTCCCCAATACTTCTCGTATAGTTTGGAGCGAAAAATAAAGCCACGCCACCGAATCTTAATGGATCATGGGTTTTCGATGCAGTTATCTGATATGTTGAAGGTCAGTGATGGGGAGTTCCGTGCACGGTTGACTGAGATGCTGTTGCAGTTGGTGGAGGATAAGCTGTAATGGTAGTAGTATTTTGTAAGTTTCTCTAGTCTTTGTTTTGGGATGGATGTTAGCTGAATTTCATATATTAAAAGATGTAGATTTTTGGCCTATGGCCAAATGTACATTCTTAGATGAAATATTAGTTTTTCTTATAAGACAGGTATCGACTGCAGATTGATTATCTATCTTTTGTTGCAAACTGTGTGAATACAATTGACTTGAGAATTCTGCATTTGGAAATTGAGTTTGAATTGTTTACTTTAATTTTTTCATCTGTTATCTACACGAGTTAATCATCATAATCTGTGTATACTTGCGCATAATACTGATGTAGTGAGTAAATGGGAATATCCATATCAACTTGACCCCTCCCACACGGGCGACTAGCTGGAGAAAGAACCCAAAAGCAATAAGTGCAGCTCCACACAGCCTATTTCGAGACTGGGATGAAAGATTTGAGTTCCATATAGTCTTTCTAGCTTCTATTGCACTAACGCTTTTCGTTCTTATTCGAAATTTCTTCCTCGGGTTTTGACAAGAATAAGAGAACGTGATCAGTTCATTTCTCAAGGGTTGAGTGCTCACCATTACATCTAACATTAACTAGTTGAAGAACTTATTTAGCATCTAGTATGGATTTTGAAATTCTTCTCTTATTGACGGCTTCTTATGGAGAAAGAAATGATGACAGGCTCTATATAGAATGACCTTACCTTTGTCGGTTATGAAGTATTTGTTCAGTGACATGTAGGTACATCAAATGAGCCCATCTACTCTGGCGGCCATGGATGGGCCCTGAAAAAGCGCAAGTCAGCTCGGCTCAGGCTAAAAAAGCTCGAGATTTTTCTTTGCCTGGGCTGCCCACGTTCGGCTCGCAAGCCAGCTCGTTGACATCCCTAGTGACATGTATATTCGAGAATCTTTAATTATCGACACTTTTTTTGGAGATCAAATACTTCTTGCCTCGCTTGAGGGGAGTAAGGCTCATCCCCTTGGAGACGACAAAACGTATTTTTGCCGTTAATTAGCATTTCCTGTTTTTGAGCAAGCGAACCAGCTACAGTGTTATAGTTGATTTACTAATTGAGTATTTGAGACTTATTTCGTTCTTAGCACTCGATTACTGAAGTTTATTGAGACGCTCTACAACACAAGAATGACTCAATTTCGCTGCATCTTGCTGTCATCATGCAGTCCTCATACTGCTACTACAAATAAAGGTATCAACTGTTGATATTCTGAACATGGGTTCAAAGCAGTATCTTTACGATGGGAGTGGAAAGTATTGACCCTTTTTCTTTTTTCATTTATTTATTTATTTTTTTTTTTTTGGCGTTTGATGAATGCTTATTTGTTAGTGTTTTGGTGTTTGTTTGATTTGAATGCTCCTTTTAGCCAGATCAACAAATCGAGACATTAATACACAAAGTAATACTCTTGATGATTGCAGTGGTCACAATATGTTTATCGTGACATCATAATTATGTCTGCACAAGTTCGAGCAAGGGTAAAAAATTTGATCGGTTGTGATTGAAATGGTTAATTCGATCGTTAAAATGTTAAATTGTGAGTAAAAATGACTACATGTAACCTTAGTGTCCTTTAAAATTTGATGGTACTTGAGAACTCAACCCTAGGAGGTTGTGATGATGGAATCTCGAATCTTTAATTTCTAGCACAAGGAGCTTCAAATCACCTAAAGTTCATGTGTTTGACGGTTAAAAGGTCAAATTTTGAGTATTATAATTATTATATCCGTAACTTGATTTACATCAATTAGTAAAGAAAATAAAAGAAAAATAACCAAATAAAAAAGAAATAAATGCACCATATTCTCCGAAATACAAATGCACTTTCCTCTTACACAAAATATAGAATGTAATAAACCATGGCTATTGTTCGACAAGGTAAATTTGATGGCTCTATACAAAGGCACTTTCCTCTTACATATGATCCCTCATTGCCATCCAAAATGGACAGCATAACAAATCCTAGTAACTATATTGCCAATATGCATGTTATTGAGTAATCTCCTACTTAAATAACCTCGTGAATTCTTCTACAAGCGCGGCATTACCTGACTTCCCCCTTTTTTTCTCGATTTTGGTGTATCCTAGATCTTCAATATATAGTTTTAATCACCGCAACATTCAGCACTCTGTTTCTCTTGAATCTTTTGCCACAGACAGAGCATCTCTCGGGGACCTTGGTAGTGAGCAACAACATAGTTGTTCTTGCAACCCTCGTTAAAAATCCGGTCGTCACTCTTGTACGTGATGTTTAAGCCTTTCTTCTTCATATCTGCGATCCAGATTCCCATAGCAACGTCTTCTAGCTTGAACATCTGCCAGGAGTTGTAACATAATCAACATAACAGTTATAGAGAGAATATTTGCAAATCTTCATTTTACCTTTAGGCGTCCTTTACTCTGCTTCCTGTAAATTGCCTTCGCTATATCACTTGACACAACATAACCCGGACCATGCGCCCAAGGAGGGTAAGTGTCTTCAGGCCATTCCTTGAAATGATTTGGATAAACCAGGAGTGAGATTCATCACATGCATTAAAACACACTATTTGAATTTCTATGATGAAGAGATTGAACAATATCACCACTAGTAAATTTACAACCTATAAATATGCCAATCATTTCTATTTTGTCCTCGCACTCCAAATATATAGTGTGTCGAGGAAAAAACATAATTTTTTTTTTTTTGTTGGGGGAGAGAGGTTTCAGACTCTTGAGGCCAAAAGAATTCATGTCAGTCTAGTTTCTCTGATTACTTCGACCTTGAAAATTGCTCAACTCTGGAGAGAACCCCCAAGTAACCTATCTATTTGATTTCCCAGCGTATGATCTGAAAGTCCCAGAAAAGTTAAGATTGAGATGATAATATTTTCGATACTTCATCAAATTCACTTGGTGGCTCAAATACATTCTTTCTACCACGCAAAATTTATTGGAATAAGGCTATAAGATTGTTGTGCTGTAAACATCATATTAATTGTGAACGTGGAAGGTGCATGGGCATCAAAAATTTAAAAATTCCTTATTATATTTCTAATTTTGAAATGCACGACAATTTATTGATGTTTCTCCTGTGATATTTTGATTTTCAATCCCTTACTGTGGTTACCAAAAAACTGAGGAAGGGTGATAGATTTCAAAAAATAAATATAATATAAATGAAATGACAAAATGAAGTGACGAATTACCTCAAGACTAATATACCACTTGCTATCCGGATCACGGTGGGGGTGGGAATCTGAATTGATAAGACCATAGAGCAAACCACGGGTTGTACCGATCCTTTGCAAAGATAGCAAGACTTCATCTACACGAACAAATGCATCATCATCTGTTTTCATGACAAATTTTGCGGAAATGACCTGCGTCTGTTGAAGACATGATGGTAATCAGCTACAAGGGAGGGGTCCTACAAGAGTTATAAACATAACAGGACTTTACCCCAAAGATGCAGATGGCTATGGTTTTCCATGTAATAAGGCTGTAGTAGTCCACGAATGGCATCAGCTGGATGTCTCCGTATGTCAGTGCCTCGTTCCATAGCTCCTCATTCACCATCTGGTTTTTATGCTACAGGTTACAGATTACATTTCAATTATCTTTACAAACAAATGACTTGGCAAATTGAATCTTGGAGTTCAACTTTGTCGGAATGATGTAACTTGATTTAGTTTTCACAAAAAAGATAAAAAATAAAAAAATTAAGAAAATAAAATAGAACTCCAAGGAAATGAGTATTCCGATAGTTTTGTCACAAGAGTCGAGCATAGCTACAGGAATTTTTATTTATTTATTTATTTTTTTTTGTTTTTTGGGTGAATGCCCAAGAAAGCTTGTTTATACACAGTATTGATTCATGACATCTCAGTCAAACATATAATTAGATAAAAAGAAGTCACACTTACCAGACCAACAAAGAAACGAATTGCAACTTGTCCTGACCGGACTGCATCATACTGCATCCATGATCTTCGAACTGCCATTCTACGCTTGAAGTTGTTGGTAGTGGAGAACACACCAATAAAGAGTTCTAGCGGTCTTTTTGGAGGAAGTGGAGTCGCTTTAAGAGCTTCCAAATCAATTATGTGCTCTAGATCCTCTGATGTTGGTAAGCCACTAGCAACAACGGAAATTAAATTTATGTCTCCTGAAATCCTTATTTCACTAACAAGCCATGGCTCCAAAGTCTGTAAGTACGGATGATATAAGCAACTTAAATTAACTAATATTGGTTAAAAAAAAAAAAAAAAAAAAGTTGGACGAGAGAGAGATAGAGTACTTCACGAAAAGCAAATGAAGTTATGTGCTTTCCATCAACTGCCATCTGTAATCCCTCTGATCCCACTCTGAGTGTAGCAACAAACAGATAGTTTTGCTTGAAAGGAAACGATTTTCTTGGTTTCCCATCCTGAACCATAGAAAACTTTGTAGCTCCATTGGACTGTCTGCTAACTTTAATAGTTCGGTTATCACCTTTACCCACCATCTCATTGCACTGGTCCAGCTCATCCACTGACATGAGAGAAAATAGCATCTTCCATCACATACAACAAAATATAAACATAAGCCTCACTGAAGCAAAAAAAACAATCCTATTCTATATCCAAATTTGTCAAGGACAGGAAGAAGTGAAAGGCATGTACCTTTCTTGTTTTTTTCAGGATCCGGAGATGGACATCTCTCCTCTTCGCCCCAGTCATGTGCACCTGTCCAGGAGTTTTGGACAATTACAGGATCCTCGGTTATTTTATCACCATGGAGTCTGACATTATAGTGCAAAATGATAGGAGGGTCGGGTTCATCTGGAAGTGGTTCTCCAGTCAAGTCAATCCGAAAATTACCAAGAAGGCCATTTGGAATGCCAATAAATGTGATTGAAGAACCTTGAGTCAAACCGCAAGGAAGCCGCAACTGAAAGCCATTATCATGAAGTTCTGAGGCATTCATTTTACTAAGAAAATGAGGACATTGTTTCTCTTTTCCCCTCTTCAGTGAACTACCATTGATATGAATTT